CGCTTCCTCCCCCTCCCGGCCAATGCGCCGCCTGGCGCACGGTGATCTGCCCTGTTCTGTTCTGCCCTGTTCGGGAAGGAGGTGGAGGAGGCGGAGGAGTACTCCCGTGGTCTGCCACCCACGGCCAGCCGGGCCCCGGGCACGGATCCTGGCAGCCAGAGTTCGAAGATTGTGGATCGGACTGGATGGCACTGGCCCTGTCATGCCCTCTTCCACGGACGGCTTGGTTCGAGTCGGACGCTAAAAAGCCTCCGCCGTTTTTCTGTCCCTTGTCGACCTCCCTGGCCGCCGTGCCTGGAGGCCACCAGAGGTTTCTGGAGGCCTCCGCGGCCCTCGGGAGGCCTCTGGAGCTTCTGAGATAGCCGCGTCGAAAAGCCTCCCATAACCACCTGGGCTCCTCCTCCCCAGACGACGACGACGACGGCAACGGCGGCGGCGGCGGTGGCGGCGGCGGTGACGATGACGACGAGGACCCCTCGGTGCTGCACGCAGGCCTGCTCTCCCGCTCTTTGCCGCCAGCCGCCGCTGGGTCCTGGCGGCGCGCGCGATCCACCTCATCACTCCTGACGCCAAGTTGGCTTGGAGGTCCCAGCAACTGTTGCCGACGGTCGAAGGAGAACAAACTGCGCAAACGTAAACGTTCGACGGTCCGCGCGGATCTCTTGGATTTGCATTGGTCCCCCTGGCGGAGCTTCTGGCGCCGCCCCTGGCACCCTCCGCGCGCCAGGGAGGGGGTCCAGCACGGATCCAGGAAGTCCGCGCGGACTGTCGACAGTTTATGCCCATGCCGTTTTCTTCTTGCAGAGTACAGTCGGACCGAGGTATGAGATCGAGGTCGGTTCGGGGAGGGTCACCTAACGTTCTTCGTGCTTGTTGGCTGCTCTTGCGCATCCTGGGGAGGGTACCCTCCGATGTTCTGTGTGTCCTGGCCGGCGGAGGGTCTCATGCTCTGCAGCCCGCGCTGGTGTCCCCGCCGCTGGGCGCCAGCCCAAGAAATCTGCGCGGATCCCCGAACGTGTACTGCTCGTGCAGCTGTTTCCTTTCCAACGTTGGATGCAGTCGGCACGAAGAACAGCAGTTTATCATTAGAAGGGTATCCTGACGTCCTCTGTTCGGCGGCGAGCGAAGGGGGGGAGGTGAGAAGGAGAAGGCCTTTTCAGAAGGAGGCGGGACTTCTCAGAAGCCATCGCGCCTTCGGGGAAGCCCAGAAGACTTCCTAGAAGGCCGCGGGACTTCCGAGCCTTCTGGGAAGGCCCGCCCCTTCTCACTCCCCCCGGGCTCGCCGCCGAGGGGAGGAGGAGGAGGAGGAGGAGGAGGAGGAAGAGGAGGAGAGGAGGAGGAGGAGGAGGAGGAGGAGGAGGAGGGAAGGAGGAGGAAGGAGGAGGAGGAGGAGGAGGAGGAGGAGTTCTCAAGCCCATCAAGACCGGTTGTAACTGTTGTGGAAAAACTCTTGCTCGGGCTGGGAAATCGAGTCGTTGCTGGACCCCCTGTCGTCATTCGCCCATCGGCAACCATGCTGCTGCCTGACTCTCGTCTGAGAGTCGGTCTGGGAAAGACGGTCCCTGAACCCCCCGATTACCCTACCATCTGAATCAGCTATCTGAGGATGCGCAAGCACCGCTCCCCAGGAAGCTAACAATTGGCAGAGAGGGGGGCAGGTGGAAAAGATCTCCACCAGGAGATGTCGGCCGGACAGGCAACAGGCTGAAAGACCCCGTGGTGGGTCCAGCGCGGGAGCGCGGCCACGGGCGAGGGTCTGATTCGCTTTTTCTTGCCCTTGCCGCCTCCAAGCTGGCGACTCAGATTGCCCCTCGAGGCTCTATCCATCTTGATACCTCCGCCCATCCCACGTACTGCTTCAAATATGAGCTGCCCTGTCGGAACCAGGTACCCTTGATCTGCATCATCTCCGTTGGCACCTCGAGTGGGCTGATCATCATGTGTGCTTTGCTCTCGTCGTCGCTCTGCAGGTCCTTGAGGATGGTGTCTTCTGCTTGCACCTCGCGAGGAAGCAGTATATAGCCTTTGAGCGTGAACGTGATGCGACTCATGAGCTCTGCTCCTGGTCGGTCGAACGTCGGAAGAGCTACCAGCTCCTTCACTCAAGCGGGCAGCATGACGGACCGTAGGCGACCCAAGGAGGAGGAGGAGGAGGAGGAGGAGGAGGAGGAGGAGGGAGGAGGAGGAGGGAGGAGGAAGGAGGGAGGCGGAGGAGGAGGAGGAGAGTGAGGAGGAGGACAAGGAGGAGGAGGAGGATGAGGAGTACCAGTTTAAACCTCAGAGTCATCAACGATGATGGAGTAAACCCTCCCTCCAAGCTCCCTCTTCGTAGGCCCTTATAACAGTTCATTTCCATTGAAGGAACTGTCTCGTTGGAAGACACCCGTTTGAAGACCCTGAAGCATGCCAAACCACTGTTCTCGGGATTCCAACGCCACGGATCAACCTGACTGTTGCGCCTTGACGGTCCTGAACAGTGCCAGTCGCTGTTATTAGGACTTCAACACAATGAATCAACGTAACTGTTGCGCCCGCATAATCCTGAACCCTTCCAACACACCATTTCTGGTACGTTACTGGCGGGAATCCGTGAAACCCTTGAACATTGCGTAAACGAATGTGCGCGGCGCTAGGGCGAGAGCCACATTTTGAAAAGGAACCGCCCCCGATCCGTGAAACTCTTGCAAATGTTTAAATCGAATGTGCGCCGCGCTCAGGCGAGAGCCACATTCTGAAAACCACCCGCCCTCAATCGGTGACACTCTTCCAAATATGTAAAACGAATGTGCGCGGCGTTAAGGCGAGAGCCACATTTTGAAAATGAACCGCCTTTAATCAGTGATACTCTTACAACTGTTTAAAACAAATGTGCACCGCGCTAAAGCGAGAGCCACCTTTTGAATCCGCTCGCCCTCAATCCGTGAACCTCTTGCAAATGTTTCAAACGAATGTGCGCGGCGCTAATGCGATAACCACAATTTGAAAACCACCCGCCCTCAATCCGTGAAACTCTTGTTGCATTTTTTTTTAACCGAATGTGCGCCGCGCTAAGACGAGAGCCACATTTTGAAAACGACTCGCCCTCCATCTGTGAAACTGTTACCAATGTTTAAGCTTCAGAGCCATACATGGTGACGAAGTCTCAGGCGAAACGCCCAGCCCGCCCTAAAAACTGGCCTCGGGGTGCGACAGGGAGAAGTTAGGAGGAGGGGGAGGAGGAGGAAGATGAGGAGGATGAGGAGTAGGAGGAGGAGGAGGAGGAGGAGGAGGAGGAGGAGGAGGAAGAGGAGGAGGAGGAGGCAGGTCGATCAGTGTCCCGACCCTCCACCTCGGAATGGTTCTCGTTCTGGTGCCCCGTGGGGTCGTCGGCCTTCGGCGCATGTTGCCCGCGTCCTCGACCCCGCGCTCTTGCGGCTAGCGGCCGACATTGAGTCCTCGCCTGGGGTCGCTGCTGCTCCGCGGTCGGCCGAGCTCGACTCCGCAGTGGATTCCGTTCGGGCTTCGCCCCCATGCTAGGGGAGCGAAACATAAAACTTGAAGGTCCGCGCGGATTCCTCGGATCGGCGCTGGAGCCCCCTGGCGGCGCCTCCAGCGCCGGCCCTGGCGCGCTCCGCGCGCCAAGGAGGGGGGTCAAACGCCGATCCGAGAAATATGCTTATGTCATTGTTTGTTTCCCTACCCACGGGGTTGTTCAGTTTACCCAGAACGTACCCCGCCATCGTACCACGGGGCTCCTCGACTGCATCCTTTCGTCGCGCCGGAAGAAAAAGTCGTCGTCGTCGCCCTCGTGGTCGCCGTGGTGGTGGTGGTGTTGGTGGTGGTGGTGGTGGTCGTCGTCGCTTTCATCGTCGTCGTCGTCGCCGTCGTCGTCGTCGTCGTCGTCGTCGCCGTCGTCGTCGTCGTCGTCGTCGTCGTCGTCGTCGTCGTCGCTGTCGCTGTCGCCGTCGCCGTCGCCGTCGCCGTCGCCGTCGCCGTCGTCGTCGTCGTCGTCGTCGTCGTCGTCGTCGTCGTCGTTGTCGTCGTCGCCGTCGCTGTCGCCGTCGTCGCCGTCGCCGTCGCCGTCGCCGTCGCCGTCGCCGTCGTCGTCGTCGTCGTCGTCGTCGTCGCTCGTGCCAGTGGGCGACGATAGGTGCATACATCGACAGCCCCTGGGCCAGGCCCGTCCCAAAGGCCCAGGATCGGTGCGTATACGTACTCCTCCTCCTCCTCCTCCTCCTTCTCCTCCTCTTCCTGCGCCCCCCCGCCCAGGTCGCGGCCGCGCCCCTGCCGCGCCGCGATATCGGTTGGCCTTCCGTCCTGGTACCGTACCTGCACTCGTTCTTCAGCCAGGGGCTCGCGCAACTCGCAAGGGCGCAGCGAGCCCGAACCAGGTGGATGTCATGGCGAGATTCAGCGCCATGGAGGCAGGAGATGCCGACGCAGCCTCGGGTCAGGCAGAACTGGCAGGCTGCTGTGGGCGTGGAGATGGTCGAGCGGGTGGTGGCGGCGGCCGTGACAGCGGCGGTCACCGCGGCCATCCCCGCGAAGGCTCGGCCAGGGCTGCTGCCGCCAGCGCTGCTGCCCCCCGCGGCCCCGCAGCGGCCCTCGCAGGCGCCGCAGCTGCTGTTGGCGATCGAGGATGGCTCGGCGACGGATGCGGTGACCACCCTCCGCAGGGCCGCTCCGCCGTCGCCGCCGCCAGTCGCCTTCGGGCCGCACCTGCGCAGGTGGAGCCGATTCACGGCGGTGCCATCTGCGCCACCCGTACCGAGGACAAGCTCGCGGAACCGCTCTGCGATTAGGCGCCCAGAGGAGCAGCCTGCGCTGCGCGCTCGGCTGGCGAGCAATTCGGTGCCCAGGAGTGCCCAGGGGCAGGCCGCCACGACGTCGATTTTGACGGACTGGGTGGACGCGAATCCTGCGGGCGACACCGGGAAGCCGAAGAAGGACGTGAAGGAGCGTGGCCGCCGCCGGCGCAGGAGGAGTCCATCGCCGCCGCAGGAAGCCAACAGAAAGCGAAGGCGATGAACACCCGCTTCGAGCTCGTGAGAGAGCAGAGCCAGAGGGCTTTTCAGAAAACGCTCAAGGCGCAGCAGGACAGGCTCGCGCTCTGGCGTCTCAAGACGGACAACTTCAACCAGGTGGGGATCGACTGCCGCGTCGAGGTTCCCACGGGTTGTGGGTGGAAGGCGCCAGGGCCGAATCCCTGGCAGGATTTGGGACAGGGACGGGTGCAGCCTGCGCCCATTGCGGCAAGGCCGAGCTCGGCCAGACGCTGCCGCGCGTCAGCCACCTCGGCTGTCAGCACAAGACGGCCTGGTTCGACACCTCGGACGGCGACGAGCAACAGGAGGACAACCCGAAGGAGGTGGAAGAGCAGGACCTGCCCCCGCTGCCGCCCTTCCCTGTGCTCTCGGCCGTCGACGACAACGGCGTCTGTGGCGAGGAGCGGACGGAGGAGGAGGAGGAGCTGTCCAAGGAGGACTGCCTGGACGAGATCCGCACCGACGGGGTCGACGGCATCGTGAGTGTGTCTGTGGCTTTCCATCGGGTCGAGGACATCTACCTCGCCTTCGGGGAGTTCTCGGAGACATGATAGGTGGAGGGGTGTGGAGCTCTCTCTTCGGGCCGTGGGTTCCTGTGGCTTCGGTAGCCACAGGAACCCACGGGTTCCTGTGGGCCCTGTGGGCGTCGCTCGGGGTCCTGGGGTTGGTGGCGGCCCCTTGGGGGGCTGCCTCTTCGGCCATGTTTGGAGTGTTCCTCCTCCCTCGTGGCCGGCGCCCGTAGCGGCGAACGATCCCTCGGATGGGTCGAGCTAGTCAGCTTCAGCTTCACCTCCTGCTTCTCCTCCTCCCTCCCTCCCTCCCTCTTCCTCGTCCTCCTCCTCCTCTTCCTCCTCCTCGTCCTCCCCTCCCTCCTCCTCCTCCCCCTCCTCCACCTCCTCCTCCTCCTCCTCTTCCTCCTCCTCCTCCTCCTCTTTGGGTCGCTTACGGCCCCGGGTGAAACCGTGCGCTGCCAGGTGCCCGAGCACGTCGTGCTCCGCATGCTCCGAGGCGCCGCCCTTGCCCTGGCACCGGGCGCCTCGCCGCCGCGCCTCGCCGCCGCGCCTCGCCGCCGCGCCGGATTCTGCGCCTCCGTGTGGAGCCGCGCCTCGGTGTAGAGCGGCTGCTCCGAGGTTGTAGAGCCGCGCCTCACCCTCCTCCCCGTGAGGAGGAGGAGGAGGAGGAGGAGGAGGAGGAGGAGGAGGAGGGGTAGGAATAGGAGGAGGAGGAGGAGGAGAGGAGGAGGAGGGGAGGAGGAGGAGGAGGAGGAGAGGAGGAGGAGGAGGAGGAGGAGGCGGAGGAGGAGGAAAGGCCGACCTCCGGGGACCCGAAGCAGCATGGACCTGGTCGTCGTCCTCCCGTGCTGCTGCTCCGGAGGAAGAAAAACGAGCGCCACGCGCAGAAACTTTCGGCGCGCCGAGCAGATTACGTATCTCTTGCCAGGGGGAGGGGAGGGTCCAGCGCAGATCCAAGAAACGGGCGCGGAACGCCAAACGTTTACTCAGTATGGCGATTTGTATCTTCTTCTTCTCTTCGCTTCTCTTCTCTTCTCTTCTCTTCTCTTCTCCTTCTCCTTCTCTTCTCTTCTCTTCTCTTCTCTTCTCTTCTCTTCTCTTCTCTTCTCTTCTCTTCTCTTCTCTTCTCTTCTCTTCTCTTCTCTTCTCTTCTCTTCTCTTCTCTTCTCTTCTCTTCTCTTCTCTTCTCTTCTCTTCTCTTCTCTTCTCTTCTCTTCTCTTCTCTTCTCTTCTCTTCTCTTCTCTTCTCTTCTCTTCTCTTCTCTTCTCTTCTCTCTCTCTCTCCTCTCCTCTCCTCTCCTCTCCTCTTCTCTTCTCTTCTC